GAGGGGAGTTTTTTTTTATTTATCTTTTACTTTTAAAATATTTTTGTGATTTTGATTTTTTGAACAATTGTTTTTGAAGTTCAGATAAGAGAAAGCAGCTCCTATTTAAGTGACAAGTCAAGTTTTTTCTAGATTTTAAGCACATGCACAGCTATGTTTTTAGAGTAGCTGAGCGAAAACTGGGGGCTCTCATGGCCTTGAGGTTAAGGTGTTCGCCTCTCATTCAATAGATTGTGGGTTCGAATCCAGATATCGAGTGAAATGTTCTTCTCTAAAAATGTTCTTCTTTCACATTCTTTCCTGCTCTCTAACAATGTTTTGTTTTCTGCTTTCGTCTCCACTTTCTGCCTCCACTCCCTCACCTCCTTTGCCCCTTCTTCTGGGCTCCTGACTCTTTCTGCAGCATTTTTACTGTTACTCCTTGGTGCCTTCTTACTGCTGTCTTTCAGCCACACCCCCGATCTTCTGGTAGGAAAAATCTACCTAGCCTTGCCGAACAAAGGCGAAAATTCTCGGAGGTCCCGTGTGTAAGTTGGGCACATTAATGATCCCTTTGTGGTCCAAAAGTTTGGTCGCCACCCGGGAAAAAAAATTCAAAATTTATTACCAATTTAAAAAGCTTAATGTGTCCCGCGAGCTCCTATTACTTTATGCAGTTGAGAGCGCCGAAAAACACTTACCAAACAAACATAACCAAAAAATGAGCAAAAACCTACTCTCTAATACGTTAATTAAATTTGTCAAATTGCTTTCCCAGTACTCATTCTTCTACATGATCGATTGTAATGGACTGTAAACAATTAACGCCCTTTTTTGCACATTTTTAACATTAGGGCAAATCTGGAAAGCTTGGGATGCAGCCTTCCACCTGACACACGAAAATACTCCATAAAAGAGACTACCTCAATAGGGGTACAAATCATGTTTTCTACAAGAAAGAGGTGATGAAATTAGCAGTGACTGTATGGGCAAGTTGTAGAGAAGACTGGAATTTAGAGAGAACTCTCACTATTTCTACAAATTCTTTAGGTAGTTATATGTATTGAGTAGTAAGTATTCTTATGAACAAATTTCCGCAAAAATATGTGTCGCACACTTTGCATATTAATGTGGTTGATACTATGAATAAATACACGCACATGTGCAAAGATTTCTCAGATATTCTTCCTCCAGATACACGGCAATACGCCACATTACATCACTAGGTGATCGGATCACATCTTCTACGAGAAAGTGAAGATGAACTTATCAATTACTTACTGAAGCTGGTGTTTTGGGAGGGATTCCATATCGTCTTAAAAAGGTAACGAACTATTGAGTCTATCAGCTCCAACTCTCTACCTCATGTCCATCTCACGCATGCCATAGACGAGAATAGAGTCAAAATAAGGACAGTTTCTATTCATATCATAGGAAAAAAGAATTTTGAACGACTGAAGTACACGTTACCACAGTAGAGTGACTTTTTGTCCAATCCTACCCTGATCAAGCCACCATGTCAGACTGGGTGGGCAGAGTGTATCGCAATAGCTTGTTCACTTTCGTCTGTCAGCGATTAAAACGAAATAAAAAAAACCACAAGTCGCTCCGTTCCTTCCTCTCGTATGTTTGCATGCGGGTCTAAAATTTGGATCACCAAAATAATCTATATGTAAAGGGCCATTAATGAACGCCAAGCAAAAATAAGTTTCCGACACGTTTATTTTTAATGTTAGCCTGAAGCGGGTAAAAGAAATTAATGATGGGTGATTGATGACATACACCTAAGACATTCAAACGTTGACCTTTTTTCATCAACACTACACTTTAGTAACTGAAGCGCACAACAATTGTCAAACTCGGTCAACAGACGTGTAAAACATAGGCCAGTCAAGACTGTGTGGCTGCTTCTTTTGATACTCTAATTTCGAAAATGTTTTTAGCAACGATCATTATTTTTTTAATTTTGCAAGCAAGGTTTAGTCCCACGCAGCGGCAAACTTCAAAGGGATTCTGGGTCACAGTTCGCCTCTCCCATTTCTAACAGTAGGGGTCTATTACAAGATTAGTTAAAACCATAGATATAAGGTTAAAACTGACAGTTGGCCTTCTTCCTGGTGATTGAAAGAAAAATACTACACGATGCAATCTTCATAAAATGACTTTTGTGATTTTCTAATCCAGCAAGAAAAAACAATGTTTACCCAATGTGGCCTCAAAATAAAGGCTGAGAAAAATGAATGGATAAAAGGAAGTAGGTTTATAACCAGCATGCCATGCTTAAGTTGTTCCCGCGTCCGATCCGGACATTGGATTTTGTCTTGTTAGTGAGACAACTTCCTGGGCCTTTGGCATATTGTGGTAGGGTAGCCACGCCGCCTTTACTTCCCCAACTCGAATTCAGGTATCCATTACTGCCAGGTGGGCAGGAGGGGGTTTTAAAAAATCCGTGTATGAACCGAAGCTCGAACCCGCACTTTCCGCTTTGGAGACGAGCGCTCTAATCGCTCCGCCACCGCACCCTAGGTATGCTAGATATGCCATGCTTGGTAGGTGGATTTCTACATTGTTTGGTAGGTAGGTAAATAGGTAAGTAGATAAATAGGTAGGCAGGCAGGCAGGCAGATAGGTTGGATGGTTGGTTAGTAGATAGACAGACAGGTAGGTAGGTAGTTAGGTAGGTAGATTGGTAGATAGATAGGTAGGTAGGGGTGGGTAGGTATGTAGGTAGGTCGATAGTTAATTTGGTAGATGGATACACAAAATAAAAACAAACCATTTTCGTCTTATTATGCGGCTTGAGAGAAAACATCATCGAAAAGCGAAAAGTAGTCAGAACGTTTTTCCTCACTATGGATAACTAAAACAAGACATAACTGTCTGCAGCTGTTCTTCACAAAATCGCTAAAAATATTATTACCTCCAGACTACAGAACCCGCCAGGAAAATAATATAACAACCAGAAATTGCTATCCAGACGCATGATGTCGCTACCCAGGGCGAGAGTTTCCCCGATGCAATCTTGACTGGACGTCAAAATATTCAGAACGCTGTCGCCCGGTGGGTGTCTGTTGTCGATGCGCGTCCAGATCAATTATCAATGGCGCCTCATCATTCCTCAGAGATCCCGGGATACGAGACGTTGTCCTGGTTACATGACACACCTTCGTCATCCCTGGACTCCTGGGTCATCATCTCGAGGTCCTTGTCCCGATTTCTGCAGAATCCCATAGAGCAGACACTAGCAATCTTGCAGCCCGCGGGCCACATCCAGCCCACGAGCAATTTCAGTCCACCAACCAACGAGTCGACCCTGTAATTTGTATTGAAAGTATTGAAAGTGGCCCGCGGTGAGTTGATAATCACTATGAAGGCAAAACTGTCCGTCTTGAAAATGAACACTAATAGTTTCCGGTCCTGTTGGCAGCAATACATCTGATAGTTTATCTCATGAGTGGCATAATATTACGCTATAGTGTCAGTTTTAGCCTGACTTATGAGAGTTTAGGGACTTCAACTAATTTCACTAAATTTTGTTCTGCTTTAGCGCGCGTGTTTAAGAGAGAGAGAGAGAGAGAGAGAGAGAGAGAGAGAGAGAGAGGGAGAGAGGGAGAGAGGGAGGAGAGATGTGTTCTTGCGCCTGCTCTCACTAAGAATAGAGAAAAGTATCCTGCTGCTTGTCTAGAGCTGAAAATATTATGGCACGGTGGTGGGTCGGGGGTGGGGGTGATTACACGTATTGCAGTCTTCAAATTGTATTTGATACCAATAAAATAAACGATTGAACTGTTGTCTGTGGGGGGGGGGGGTGAGTTGGGGGGGGGGGATTATCTAACAGACGATACCTATTATATTGCATAGGTCAATCAACGGCAGCGTATTCTATAGCAATAAGCTCAAATAACATTCGTCTTGTAGTGGAAAATGTGTCGCTATTTCAAACGCAAGAGTTACGACATCAAAAGTAAAAAGTTCGCTTTAGATATGGTTTTACAGCACTTGCAGCACAATAAGATCATATAAGGGCCGAAGATTAGAGATGTTACAAGAAAGTGAGCAAAGAAAGGAGGCGATATAAGAAGGATTGATATTTGATGGGAACCATCCACAAGAATAAGAGAGGAATCAATATAAATATACATGTACATGCCAAAAAGAATAAAAAGAATGAAGTTGCAATCATTACAAGGTTAGCTTCAGCAGTAAGCCGTATCATGGATAATGAGAACAGCAGCACCTTGAATATTACTAACAATATCAGCAGCAACAACAACAGCGTCGACAACAGACACCCTACGAGCGACAGCATTCTGAATATTTTGACGTCCTTTTACCTCAGTTGGTTTCGTGCTGGACTATAAGCTGGTGGCCCTGCTTTGGATCCCCAAAGAAGCGTATTGGACTTGAGTTGTATTTTGTTGCGGAATTTTAAAGGCTCTTCATTCATTCGGCTCGGTCCTGTCGGGGAGGGCGTTAAATCCGCCGGTTGAGTTTCTTTAATGAAGGTGTTTTAGCCTAGTTTAGTTTATTTAGTAGGTGAACTTTTGACCCTGTCTGACAAAGCCAACACAGACTGAGAAGGATACATCACAGCAGAAAGACTAAGATACTCGATCAAAATTCCTCCCAAATCGAGAATTGAACTCGGGTCTCCTGTGTGCGACAGCAAAGCGCTAACCTCTACACCAGAGATGCTGGTAATTCGGAGGTCCACCTTTTTAAAGAAATCTCAGTCTTGAAAGGGACATTAAACTTGTACAATATTATACAATATGTATAAATGCAACAGCAACATCAGAATATGGAAAACATCAAGACATGGAACAACATCAAGAGGTTAGCCTAGGGTAGGGAAAGGTGGAAAGTGTTTGCTCGTGGTCTACACCTTGATCCAAGGTGAGAGAGGAAATGATGATGAATATCAGAACAACAGCAAAACCAACAACAATAACAAAAGCAACAAAACAACATGAAGTTTACAAACAAAAGCAGAGACAAAACAGAACAAAACAAGAGCAGCAAGCAACCGTCAACGAGAAAAAAAACAATCTTCTAAATTACACCCCCGCTCGTCCACCATCACTCACGTTTGTCGACAGCCCACGCGCATCGCGCACGCGACAGTCTGTGCCGGAGTGAGGTCGGAAAAACCCGCGTTTGCCACAGCTTTGCTTACAGGCTACGTCACACCTCCAGAAGCGGATGGGCTAATGCGAAGAGAGCGAAAATATAAAAGAATTCGCCCACGTCAACAAGAGATATAACGACGTATTTATCGTCGTTTAAATGCATGGCTTTAACTGAGACTAACTCCCATTGATTCACATGATCTGTTTTTCTCATAAAGACAGTTCTTGCCAAGTCCACTTTCTGCACCTGGGCCTCATCGAGTGAGTTTGTTTTTTCAAAAACATTATACGTGAAATAACTGGAACAAATTCGTCTGTCAGGTGAGTGGAAAATGGATTAGAAGTATGCATGGGTGGTTAAAAAGTAAAGGAAGTTGTGAAATATCTAACAAAAGAAAAGACTTAATGCTATGAACGTGACAATTTTACGCGCCCTCGAATTAATAGTCTCTTCAGCTTTGTATGCAGGATTCCAGCCGCCACAACCACTTCTGGAAGTCACAGAGTTACTCAGCTTCTAGAATGCTTTGCAACTCTGTATTGATAGCCATTGCTAGGTCCAGAACGCGCCCAGAAAGCCTCTTTCAGGATGGGAAATAACATGTAGTCAAGACTACACACTGCAAGATACAAATTTGGATTCCTTGTCCTTGTATACACAGAGTCGTTCTTTAGCTTTGTGCAAGGCTACATGTGGAGGAGGATTGTACGAGAGGCTTCTATCTTTGGTTTCTGCTCATCAGCTGTATTTTACAACAAAGGCAGTATTTTTTGCACATAATAGTAAGATGTTATAATAGTATAATTTGTCATTATATCATTTACAAGGAGGCGACCATAATTGAAAAAGGACGGAAATGCCTCTTTCTGCTTTAAAAATTCTGGATACAAAACAACAGGACTCTACCTTTCTCGCACATGCAACTCTGCCGTTTTGTTGGAATTTCAAAAAGGGAATCTATTTCCCATCTCTCCGAGACAAAGTCTATAATCGCTTGGGCCTATGGGGTTCAAACATGTTGCTCAATTCTGTTGTACATTTCACCCTTTTTCTTTTTCTTTCCTCAAATAGTAGTTAGGGTATCTAACAGGTGCACACTTTTTCATATGAAGTTGTAAAGGAGTCATAGTTTGCACCGACCCAAACGAAAGTTCAGGCCTGTAACCAAGTCCTCGTATAGAGGTATGGCGATCTTACGGCCCGATAACATTGATGGTTTTCTCGTTCAATGAGGAATTTGTGCTTTCAGAACGTGGGTCATCAAAAATAATGTTTCTCCTTTCACTAAATTCACTTACCCACCAACAAGCAGATTCGCTGCAAACACTGTAATATTTTATTAATCGGTTTTGAATGGATAAATGTCATCTTTCATGTACGCCATCTTGCTTCCTCATGAGCTGAAACCATTCTTTTTTGTGACGTCATTAAAAATAATAAAGACTGACGTCAGACGATACCCCGCCCAACGATACCCCGAGCAATCATGTTATAGATCATTATGTCTGTTGTTTTATAGCAGAAACCAATGTCTTACCCGTTAGATGGCAAATTCCATTACTTTCTGATCCACCGCCGTAATTATAGAATCGTTGAGATTATAACAGTAAATAGAGATAGGCTTTTATATGAGCCTTTCAATAATTTTGTAGTCTATCTCCTGATTTTATATAAGGTTATGATTGCTGTTATTTTATCATACTTTATTTGTTGCTATCACTGGTATGCACAATGTGTCATAACGTCATAGTAAACGCAATTGTGGCATAGTTAACAATAACTGCCTCTGTTCTAAATCAAAAGATAAAACCCAGTTAATACAATACTGTCTTTCGGCTCCGGCGTTTTGTTGTTCATTTATTTAATCACACAGCGGTAACGCCTGTTCATTAAGATTTACTTCCCTTTATATCTTCGTTGGGGGTTTATGAGTGCTTGCGCACTCAAATTGCCGCATGCACAAAGCTGTCTTAGCGTGCGGTCAGAGTACATAATTGTAGATCCACCCGAAACCCCCCTTACCGACACCATCTCTCTCTCTCTCTCTCTCTCTCTCTCTCTCTCTCTCTCTCTCTCTCTCTCTCTCTTTCTCTCTTTTTCTCTCTCTATCTATCTATCTATCTATCTATCTATCTATCTATCTATCTATCTATCTATCTATCTATCTATCTATCTCTCTCTCACACACACACACATATACGAACACACACACGAACACGCACACACACGCAAACTTGAGCACATACAAACATTGCACATTCACACACACACACACACACACACACACACACACACACACACACACACACACACACACACACACACACACACACACACACACACACACACACACACTCATACCGACCGAACACACAAACATGTTTGTACCTACACAAGCACTGATATTTATATGTTGAAGGATTATCTGTTTATATATATATAATATATATGTATATATATATATTATATATAATATGTATATTACGATTCATGGCGGGATGCTATGACAATTTATTCACAGCAAGCTCAGGGCGAGCATTTCAGATGTCGTCTTTGGCTCAAAAAGATTGCTATAACATGACATCACGGGTCCTGTATATATTTTATAGAAGACGCAAGAGCTCGAAAACGAAGAAACAAACAGACATCAATAGTGTGGCAACAACCAGCACTCAACTATCACTAACAGCCCTAGATTTCAATCTTTTAAAAGACCTCCTGAATCTCAATCAAATAATTTGGTTTTTTTTAGCTTTAACTTCCTCATAAAAAAATAGTTGTATTATTTGTGAAGAAAGTTTGCTTCGCATTGTACTGTTTATCGTCATAAGACTTCTAGGCAATCTTTCGCTGACCCGACGAAGACTACTTTCATGAAGCCGATGACGCTCAAATAATGGCGTTACCTTATTAACAAGCGTGCGATTGCTTTCCGTCATACTCAAGATACTAATAATATCATGGTTACTCCATTTTTAATTGTGTCTGACTGCCTCTTGTGTGTGTATATAATTATACTGTAATTTATGGTGTGCTTTCTCTATACTTCACGTCGTTTGCAAAGGTCAAACTATAAATCCCCATTCACATCATTTACAGGCAATAAGACTCGGTTAACTACTGAGTTACACATGACAGTACACACGAAACTACCCACCCCCCCTTTTTTTTTAAATACTCACACTCACACCCTTTACTCTCGTAAAACAAAACTGAACGTATAAACAAGACAAAGAACAATGCAAAATGAAAAAAATTGTTTTCAGTCGGCTATACTTTTTCCTTCTGTGAGGTTATTTGCTGCGGTCACTGAACTCGTTAGCACTCACCACCGGGCCGAAAGAACAGCTGCTGTTTTAATGTGTAAAGGAAAGAGACAAAAGAGACTCAACGCGACTCATTAGAATGACAGGATTTACGACCTCTTCTTGGGCGTCACAGACAGAAATAAGGGGGAAATGCGTCAAGGCCTATTTATTTTATTATGGCGTTTTAGTCGAACTGGGATCTAGAGCGATTGTAGAGCTGTAACTGAAGTTTTTTCTAGCCTTATGTGTACCACCATACGTCAGCAATCTACCCTTCGTAGAATATCTTTAACCAGTGCTGTGTTGTTGTTGTTGTTGTTGTTGTTGTTGTTGTTGTTGTTGTTGTTGTTCTTCTTCTTTTTGTTGTTGTTGCTGCCGCTGTTGTTGTTATTGAAATTTTGTTTTGGAGGGAGACTGTTTAGTATTATAGTGGTCTCATGTTGGTAGGACGACTCTTGAATTACACTATTGCACTACAAACTGATATCCCTTTTGTTTGTTTTTTCGAAAATGAAATTCATATCTAATTTAAAAATTCCAATAACACAATCATTTTAAGGTAAATACATTAGAGAGCTGGTTGGCATTACTTCTATTTTTAACCTCATGACAATCCACACGACCCTCCGGTATTTAACACATAGTGCTTTGGTACCACATTTATTGTTATGTTAAAGCTTTCCTGCAACTATTTAAAAAACGGGGAAAACACGCAGAGGGCAAACGTGCAGAGCCATTACTAAAACCAGCTGCTTTTATTGTAACGAAGCAGGGGAAAATACCTTCATTATTTACTGAGCTGTTCCGATTCTGCATATCAGAGTTATCCCAGCCAGTGTGGGATACATTCATCGAAGTAAAAGACATATATTTTCAACCAAATGTATGTGTGTGTGTGTATGCGTGTGTATGTGTGTGTGTGTGTGTGTGTGTGTGTGTGCTTGCGTGTGAGTGTGTGCGCGCGCGCGCGTGTGTGTGTGTGTATGTGTGTGCGTGTGTGTGTGAGAGAGAGAGTGTTTGTGTGTGTGTGTGTGTGTGTGTGTGTGTGTGTGTGTGTGTGTGTGTGTGTGTGGATGTGCGTTTTTCACTAAATACTCATACTCATAGTACTTGTTTGCAAGCAGACTAGATTAACCATCGCACCATTAACGGGGGTGGCATTGCTCCCGAAATACCATGGTGGCTTCGGGGATGCATGTTGCTCAGCAAAATCTCATTACCAAACTAGTTTCACTGGGACTTATTTAGAACCCTTGTACTGCTGGCTGGGAACCGCATAGTAGTTCTCATTGGACTCAATTAAACCAAAATTAGTGCAAATATCATAGAATTTACTTTGTCATAAAATAACTAGTGCCGTTACTCCTAACAGTAATTTAGTAACAATACTTTTATCATTGCTTTTTTGTTATGCTTTGATGATATCAAGGGCTTTGCCTCTTCCCACGCAATGAATGCCACTCCCCTAAAAAAAGAGGCAACTATTTCCAATGACTTTACAATTTTCAATAATTCTTACATCAATACTAGTTTCCAGACCCCCCAAAAAACCGCTTTCGTTTCTTGATTCTCATCAGTAAATAAATATTAGTTAAACATTATTTCAAAAATGTTTATTAAGGCTTTTTATAAAAGCATGTCTCTACCAGGGTATATACCTGTCTATCTGTATGTCATCTATGTCTTTCTGATTCTTGCTGACATTAGAGAATTTTTCGACTTTTTTGTCAATCAAAATTGAAACAGAAAGGAAAAATAGAGAAAGAGAGAAAGAACATAGATAAATAGAGAAAGAGAAAGAAAAACAGAAAGAGACAGACAGACACACACACACACACACACACACACACACACACACACACACACACACACACACACACACACACATACACACACACACATACACACACTCGCACACAGAGCGAGAGAGAGATACAAAGAGAGAGAGAGAGAGAGAGAGAGAGAGAGAGAGGGGGGGGGGGAGACACAGAGAGAGATGCGAGGGGGAGACA